TCTAATAGCTCTGGATATGGGATTTATTGGCTCTCGCAGGCCAAAAGAGAGACAAGGGGCGAAAGCAAAACCAGATTTTCTCTCCCATATCAGTTTCTCCTCTGTCAGTCATGCTCGTAGAAGAGTGCTCAGGAGAAGAGGTGTGTGATGTTATTACTTCAGATTAGCGAGATTAAAATGCTGCAGAGAGTCCAGGGAGTGTGAAAAATAAAATAACATAAAAACACGAAACAAGTAAACTACAGACAGAAAAGTCATCACGCAGTTTTACACATGTCTGATGCTACGGCAGGTTTTCACTAAAAACCGAGAGCAACATCTAATGGAATAAAAATAATAAATGTTTTCACTTTCACATCAGCTGATTTGTGTTACGCACACTTCTAAACATGTACGTGAGTTTTTATCTGAGCTGTGATGTTCCAGAAGAAGCACGTGTTGACTTGCAAACTTTACAGATCGTCTGAGTTCGTGTTGGACAGAAATCAGAGCAGAGCAACTCAGTTTGCTGATGGTGAAAACTAATGACGAACGGCCATTTATGGAAGAAGAAAAGTGCAGCACGGCGGCCAAAGACTGAGGACACAAGTCAGGCTTGTCGTCCTCCAACCCTTGATGAAGACGAGGTTCTCATGGAGCAGGATGGAATCAGGAGGACTTCTATTTATCTCCGTTAGCCCCACTGAAAAACTCCCTGTCCCTGCTTAGATAGCCCTGCCAATGCGCCATGATGTCATCTCCCTGGCGTGCTGTGATTGATGCATCCAGGCTGCCAGCTCTGCGCTCGTGGGAGGCGGGGGAGTGGGGATATAGGAGGTCGAGGCAAAGAAGGGGTGAATATTTCCACAGATAGAGACGTCCAAATGTGAACGGAGCCCAGCGTGGGGTCACTTCAGAGCTCGGGCCAACACGGCGCATACCTGCAGGTTTTAGTGCGCCGGCTCCCAACAGTTGGTCAGTTTTGATGTTTCAAATGTGTTCACAAGTAGGGAGTCGTGCTGATGGTTTTGCTAGCAGTGGTTTGATGGAGACGCAGCGGGGTGGGGGTCGGGGGGGCTTCCCTCTGCGTTCTGTTACATATCAGGGCTGAGGGAAGAATGGAGGGAGCGGGGAGATGGAAGAGGTTATTGTGAGTGGAAGAGTAAGTGTTTCACAGATAGTCGTGGAGACACGCTGAGACCGACTCAACGGGGAGTCCCCGTCCTCTCGTCAGCCGGCCAAGTTAGTTCTGCCGCTCTAACGTCTCTATCGCTGCTTCGTAGGGTTTTATACGTGTCCGAAGAGACGCAGCCTGGAAATCCTCTGTTTCCATGTGTGTTCAGTTATTTTGAAATATCGAGGCATAGAGTTTCTCATTCTCTATTGCTTTTTAATTTGCCTTTTTTTTTTTTTTTAGTGTATAAATAAAAACTCAACAAAGAAACAGCTGGCGACTCAGCCCATTAGGAAACAATAGGATTGAGAAAAATAATGATAATAAATCCCATTTATCTGAGTCAGGATGAAGGAAATTCCACCAAAATCAAGTGTTATTTCAATTTATAATATATATTTGTTCATTGTCATAATTTACCGAGACATTCAAGAAGAAAATCAGCTTAACGCGTCGTCAATGTGTCTTTTTAATGGCAGGTTTCCCAGAGGTGGATCATTATAACCTCCAGATCAATATCATTTAAAAATAAACATCCACGCCGACACAAAGTCAATGATCCTTCACTGAACGTGTAAATGAGTAAACACAAACTCACGCTCTCCCACTCGCTTATCGACACGCTCACAATTAATTAGGGGCCGGTTTTCGTTACTCTACATTAAGGGATTGAAGAAAGCTGCTGTTATTAAATAAGAAGGAAGTCAGGTGTTAATAGTTAACAGTGCAAATAGTTTCATTCAACTCAAATGTCTTGAGTTAGCCATGTTTATATTTGTCCGTCTGCAGAGACGCTGATTGCCGCACGATGCAAATGTCCGACGAGTAGTTTGGTTTTCATTCCCTCTGCCAAAGGGTTTATGTTTTTCACCTCGGTCTGTTTGTTTGTTTGTTTGTTTGTTTGTTTGTTTGTAAGCAAGAGTTCACGATTAACAGTTTTCCTTGAAACTTGGTGAAAGGTTGTGATGTGAGAAGAACCCATTCCATTTGGTGCAAATCCAAATCAGGGGGCGTATCCAGGATTTCTTTCTTTAAATAAGCGGGACAGTGTTATCTAACGTTTTCACTAGGAAATAAATCATTGATTAATTAATTTAAAAAAACTCAGACACACATTTCGTGAGCTGATTTATCTGAGTGTGTGAAATTAGCTGTAGCAGAATGAATTCGGATTTAAAAAATTTTAATTAAAAAATATTGTATTTGCAATTTAAGTTTTTGGTGCATAGGCTACAGAGAAACTAAATGCTTTAATATATGTGTGTTTACTTTAGCTTCGCTGGAATTCAGGTTTGTGAATTTCGACTTCATTCAAGCGGGCTGTTTAGATGCCGAGTGCTCGTGTCTCCATGCCTCTGCTGGTATTTAAAACATTTTAAGTGCAGATGTTTGTGTGCACACGTCTTGAGTCGGCCCCGTGTACGTATGGTGTTTGTGTCCAGACATGCAGATCGCTGCACGTGTCGGAGAGAAGGTGTCCAGTGCTACACAATCAGTATCGGCCCCTGCTCCTTTTCACTGTGGTCCTGCAACTGAGACTGAACATGGGGCGCAGGGAATTGAGGTGCATTGATCTGTCCTCTGCGGCGTCTCCCTGGACGACTGAAATCATTAACCTCGCTGGCACAGACACAGGAAGCAACGACAGAGTATCTTTGAGAGGTTAATTAAAAATAAAAGCACAAGGGGGAAGGGCAGGGGTGTATTCACCAGGGAAAAGTGCGCTGACTTCCAAATGAGCTCCCTCCAGTAGCTCAGTGGACGTGTTTGTAGTCGGACTGTGATAAAATATAAAGCACTGAAACAGAGTTCAGGTTGAAGCAGCTGCATGTTGTGGATTATTCCTTTTTATGTCAAACCTGCATTTTAAATTTGTTTTTACTTTAACTACTCAGGAATCAACTGTGCAAATAAGATGCATCTCATTTCCCATCTATTGTCTTAAGTGTTGCTTTTATCAAGATGAAGATTCATTTACGATTGATTTCAAACTTAGATCTTATTGTTATTACACTGGATACGACTGACACTGTCAAAGTAATTACCAAGAATTGAAAATGCAATGAGCTACACAACAAATAATGCAACTCAGTAGTTTTCTAAAGAAGCCGGTTTTAGATTTTAAATTGTGTAAAAATTCAGTTTCTGTAAATGGTATAAATTTCTATAAAAACTGACGTTCTACGGGAAACAAAATGATCTGAATCTCTACACAAACAATAACTTTAAAACACGAGCGTTAACAGTCAGTGGCCCGGACGTTATCCAGCGAAACGCCTGTCAGCTGAGGGACATGTCCGTCAGCTGTGACAGCTTCACACAAACAGCAGCTGATGTTTAAATGTCAATGAGACGTCAGATCGAAGTCGCCGTCAATGAGACATTTTGAACCGTTTCATCTTCTTCGGGACAGTGACGCAAAGTGAACACAACAGTCTGGCAGAGTTCTGCCTGAATTCATACATTCTTTATGAACGTGTTATTGAAAAGTCTCATTATGTTCATCGAAGACATATTGGGACCAATGTTTCTTCGCCCAATATCGTCTACAGTACGAGAGACATTATTTAAGAAGGCACCTCATTGGATTACGACCGCACACAGCCATGAGTTGTTTTATTAGTTTGCTGTTGGTGTTTACAGCTTAAGTAAGTTAGCTGTTTGCAATTGTGTGAAAATGTGATGTGGATCAACTTGATGGGCCTGTTGAGCAGAGTTATTGCAGTCTGCGGTGCCCGGGAACACTCGGGAAATGATGCTCCCCCCTGTCAGCGGAGCAGAGCCCCTCTGCCTCTGGATCTGTGGGTAATTACTGAGACTCTGCTGACTCAGGACACAACAGCCCTGCACACACAAGCGAACACGCACACGTGGACGAGCGCGTCCCAGAATTCGCACACATGCAAAAGACATAGAGCTGCCACCAGGACAGGTTGCGGCTCACTGACTTATTGAGGTTCTCAGTGGGAGAGCTGCTCTGGAGACACAAGTCAAGTCGTTGGTTTAGTAAAACCACAAAGAACAAATCATTGTTTATTCATGTATGTAAAGAGGATGACGAGGGAGTGACCACTGCTTTTTGAAGTCATGGTCAAAACCTTATTAAAGAGTCAAAAGAGTCAAACTGGAATAAACCAGACTTTTCTTTTTATTTCTAGTGTTAAATGTTCAACTTTCTCAAACAGAAATGAAATCTCAACATTTCTGCCTTTTGCTTTAGTGTCACTTTTCTTCCATCCAACAAGAACTATCCATCAATCCCATTTCATTTGAGTGGCCCGTATTCATAAATTACAATTTATATCTATCGAGCCACAGGATCACTCTTCCTGTTATAGATTTTGTCAAAACGTAAAGCAAGAGTAAAAATGAATTTATCCCATCCACGGGATTATTGTGCCCTTTAATATTCTCCTCAGATACAGTCGTTTTCTGGATGCTGACATTTTCTCGATGCAAACATTTCTGCTAAAATTGTGTGAAACCCATTAGATCAATATGTTTTGCGTAAAATGTCCAGAAATAACGACACAACTTAGAGATTTTCAGATAATTGGCTAATTAACTCTTTTAGTTCTCCTGATCACCTCTGCTTGTGAGAATCTTTGAAACACCAGATTCATCGACTTCCCTGGCGACCACCCGCGGGACCTGGTGATGTTTCAGCGACAGAAAGCCCGTCCCCCTTTCTCAGATGAAATAATTCCCAGGGTTTATTAGCTCGTGGAAATTGGCTTCACTGGAAGGCAGAGAAACAAATCATTTGAATACGTACCCGCGTGTCCTAATGTTCATTTCAGCGCTGTCACTTAGAGGGGAGGGAGGGAGGGAGGGAGGGAGGGAGGGAGGGAGGAGGGACGGATGGAGCGCATTGTGCCGCTGACAGGATTGGCTTTGTGTGTGATGAATGGGGCTGTCACAGACGGTGACAGGTTTGTGTTCAATACATGTGGATGTACAATACGCTCTGCATCCCGTGACAAGCTGGGAGGCTTTCTGTCCTGATAATCTCCATATCGTTTCATCTCCGGCTGCTTACGGCGGATGTGGTCACCGAGGGGTGGGCCATGGCCGCTGCACACAGACCGTCCGTCCGGTGGAAGCTGAAAAGTAGGACACGAAGTCAAGTGATTTGAGAAACAGAGGAAGATACGGATCTGTTCGACAAACATTTCCGAATGCTCTGTTCGCGCCTGAAGTTAGAGGTCGGCTGATCGCACACAGAGCTTAATATTGAGAGGTTACAGCTGCAAATCTAAAATAAACTACTGGACACGTCGGCAGGTCAACACAGGGCCGACATACAGAGACACACACACACACACTCACACCTTAACTCAACCCTAATCTGCATGTCTTTGGACGTACCCGGAGAAAACCAAGATATTGCAGCTAGAGGACATTGATATTTGTTCAAATGTTAATTTTTCCAGTAAATTTGGTTGAATTTGTTATTTGATGCAATGAAAACTGGCTGAAACACCACGATTGACAGGATCGATGGATTATTTCGGCCTCGATGCCGTCGCTCCCGCACCAAATGCACGATGGTGGTTTTCGTATCAGGGAAATTTTGGCTTCATTTCTGTACAACGGGCGGAAGAGGAGATGCACCGTCCATGTTTATTTACAGTCTATATGAAACACTAACTACACAGTTTACGTGGCGGAGCTTCGTTTCTCACATATAAAACCCTGGAGGAAAAAAAATCCTGTTCCATATGTTCACTTGAGGCACGTGCGTCCACATCTGGACATAAAAATGCACCACAGGAATAAAAAAAAAAAAAAACGTTAAAGTTTTCTTTTGTTGTTGTAGTGGCTGTTAACACTTAATTAGCACGCTAACACTAAGTAGCAGGAATAGATGTGCTGCTGTACATAAAATACAACAGATGAAGTGGAGAAATGCTTTAAAATGGCTCTGCTGCAGGGAATATAATGGAAAACAGGGACGTAGCAGCGAGGGTGGAAGCGTGCACATCTCCTTACAGACGGGACTCATGCAGGCCGACGGTGTTGTAAAGGAAAAGAGGGAGGAGTGAAACTCATCCGCTAAGTTACAGTGGAAAAGCTTAAAGCTGAGCAGTTCTTCACACATCACACAAATCCGTTTGAGTTTTATGTATTTTGGTTGGAAGTTGACGAAAAACAATTCAGGTATTGATGCTTAACTGTAACAAACAAGGGATTAGACCAACCTCTTGTTGACTCTGGAAGCGGTTTCTAAAAGAACAGCCCAGAAACGGTTGGACCATTAGTTTCAGAGTCCAAATCTGTCGTGATACTGATTTGGAAAAGAGAAATAAAACACAGACACAAAGAGTTCGACGGTCAGAGGACGCAGGAGTTTCTCTCCATGGATTCATTGTTCACGGCTGCGATGGAGTGTGAACCTATTCTGAATATTTATGAACACACCGCGACGGAGTAAGTTATGGACACGGATCGGGCCAAGACCTCGCTCAGTGTTTTCATTCCCTCTGTATTTATGCTTCCTGACATTTTTTTTTTTTTTTTTTTTTTTCCATTTCTATTTTTTCTTCTCCATTAAAATACCTCAATGAAATAAGTCAGAAGAAAGTAAAAGACAGGTTTCTAATAGGAAACGTATGGAGACGATGTCAAAGGATGAAAAACAGTTAAGACAAATATCACGTCTTCGTGTTTATTCATCACTTCCACAAAACATGTCACATGTTCCGTGGAAGCCTCTGACGTCAGCACGGCTCTAAAACTGAGCGTCAGGCTAAAGCTTTTACTTTTGAACTTCCTGCACATTACTATGATTTGAATTCTTAAGGAAGAAAAAAAAAAAAAGAGGAGGGAGCTTCTTCCAAAGAGGAGAAACTTCAATTTAAATCTTGTGTGGAAATATAGATGGCAATAATAATGATTTAACAGCTGGCTAAAAACATCCAAACATGTTCCAGTGAGCGCTGCGCTGCACCTCAGCTGCGATACACGTAGTTTAACAGCTTATATTTCACCTATGTGGACGCATGAATCATCCCATGTAGTGCATCACAATTAGAGCCAAAATAGCAGCGAACGTGCCAATAACTCTTGGTGTTAGTTTTATCCTGCTGAGGTGAGAGCAGGTTTCTCCCCTTTCACATTAAATCTTAATCAGCGAGGTTGTTTCATACAATTACTCTGAAAACGCAGCGGCGAGTCTCTGGCAGTCGACCCGCGAGTGGGAGACATGGAGTCGAGTATGAGGAGAAGAATCTTCAGTCTGGAATGAAAAATAACTAAAGAGTGGGACATCTCCACTCTGTGTCTATTAATAGCATCTGTATATACACTTTCTATACACTGTGCGTACACTGAACATGTACTGAGCATACGCTGAACTGACTTGAGTTCCAAATTAAAAACGAACCAGACCAAGAAGCAGAGCAGGATTAACTCATCTGACTTTCAGAACTTTGGAGGTTTTCCCACCGCAGTCGTATCCTCTGAATATTGATGGAGTTTCGTGTAAATCACCTTTGGCCTCAACTCTAAATAGAAGATAACACAAACTCAAATCAGCCCGGTCGTCCACGGCCATCAACTCTTTCATCTGGGACGAAAACGACGAGACGATGACCTCAACGAAGTTTGGAAATGACCTCACGTCCTGATTTAAGGTCAAATAAGATGCATCTTAATATCTGGAGACTACGTTTTCCCGATAATGTGCCAACAGTAAACACTGGACAGCGTCATGGAGCAGTGGCTGAGTTTTGTTATTGTTTCGTACCTTTAAATAAAGATAAAATACTTTTTCTGATAGGCCTCAGATACGTTGTATACGTTGGAGAACCTCTGCTCGGGATGACGTCAGGATCCGAATGTGATTTTAAGTAAAAGCACGGTTTGTGTTCCTCGTTTGACAGAAGTCTTCACTGTGAACGTGTTTGTTCGTTTTTTGTGGAAGTGCCAAACCGTGACGCTCAGGAACACGAGACAGAAACGTTCTGACTCTCGGCCCCGGATACGTACTTATCCTAAATATTGGTTGACCTTCCCAGTGCCCGGCGATTACTCTCCTGTGAGTCCTCATCACCCCTCTCCTCCTCCTCCTCCTCCTCCTCCTCTTCTCCTTCTTTTTCCACAGATGGATTTTTTTTTTTGTTGCATTAATCCCATAGATCAGGTGGGTTTTGTCAAAGTGTTAAACTTTAATACTTTGGGTCATTTATCTTTACGGCCGAACCCGGGGCCTGTCAGCGACCAGACGAGCTATTTCCTCATTTGGTTTGGGAGCAAAGTGGCGCAGGAGAGAGCGAAGGAGGAGAAGGAGGAGGAGGAGGAGGAGGAGGTGGTGATGGAGTAGAGTGAATGTGGGGGTGGGGGTGGGGGTGGTGGTGGTGGTAGGGGTCTCTGCACACCACTTAATGAAATCCTGATGTGAGGAGACTCGGTGGAGGGGTGATCTCCGAGGTCACGGCGCCCACACCATCTCCAGAAAGCGACGGCCCTCCAGAGAGGTGGCTTCACTTACTCATTTCTTTTCCTGGGGCTCGTAAAGAGCAGCCGACGATGTGGCCCTCATTACCCCTCGGAACGCCGCCGCGCCGGGGACCCGACCGGGCGCCCAAGTGGACAAGGATAGAATTGCAAGTGATTAATTTGTCCAGAGCTCCCCTGGAACGTGGTCGTGCTCACACAAGCATTTGTCTTCATTTGCCAAGATATGTGCAGTGACATGGGAAGATGGGCCCTCGGAGTCCTGAGGCTGTGGTTGTGTTTTCTTTTCTCAAATCATGGTTAAAAAAAAAAACAACAGCAGAAACTTCTGTAAACAAAATACTGCGTGTTGGTTTGAGTCTGTCCGTCAGTGTCTTTCTTAAATAGGTACGACACGCACATCCAGTCAAATATAGTATTTTATACTATTGTGAACTATACTTTATGTATATTTACTATGATATCTACTACAATCTGTATATATTCTGTGTTCCTGATACCTCATGTGATTTATTCACAATGGATTGTGGGTGTTTAAGATGGCGACTGACGAAGAGCGTCACTGGTAAATAATTCCTCGATGTGGATTTTCTCTTTTTCCATCATTTCAGATTCAAACTCGTGGAACTAATGAATGAATAATGAATTATTCTCTATACACACATTTTGTTTTGTTGCAGGAGCTGGTGTGATGTCAGGGCTTTATTTCACTGGTGTAATTACAACATGTAAATACGAGTTGAGACAATTAAGCAGAGAGTTTATCAAACGAGCACGAAGAGTGAGTTTGATTGGACAGTTTTGTCAAATTCTTTCTTCACTGAAAGTCACAAAACTTAATAAAATGAGAACATTACATCTGTTGTATTTGAACAGAATGAGATTTGTCCTCATATTATTAACCTCAGTTATAGAAATATGTCTGATATCGACTGTAATGAGCTGATATTCACAGTTTTGTGCAACATGTGATGTAGATACAAACATTTACTCAGGATATCAGAGCGTCCGACTCAGGTTTAATGAGTTTTATAATAAGATGAAGTTAAGCTTAAGTCAGAATAGTGTCATTTTCATGCAGACGTGATTCATCCTGATGAATATTTTCATTCTCAATGAAAATATAACAAAACAGGTCAGAAAATGTTGCTGCAGTTTTTTTTTGTTTCTGTCTGTTTGTATCTAAGGTCATGAATGTCTGAGGTCCGCTGGACACAGTGTTCATGTTGTGGTCAGTTCTGATCACAGAGCAACTCAGCAGCAGACTCCCGTCATTAACTAAAAATAGATCTGCCCACGTGCACTGTGTGTGTGTGTGTGTGTGTGTGTGTGTGTGTGTGTGTGTGTGTGTGTAATCATGCACTTGTGAATTTCAATCCCTCTGAAACTTCATGATCATAATTTTGCTCGATAACAACAAAATGATCCCGAGCACCAAAACTCAGCCGCTGATTATTTCTGATGCTGTAAAAAAATAATTGCAATATTTTCTAAAAAGATTTTAAATCCTGTGATTAATTTGCAATTTTTTAAAAATGTATCTTCTTAAATAATGTTTATAGGTAAAAAAAAATCAATGATGGTTGTATTTACCCTTTAATAAACAAGCCTACATAAACACAAAGGACACATGATTTATATTTAGTCTGGTGTCATTGGTCATTTTAGTTGCTCTTTTAGGTGAGTTGGTTTAAGGCCACACACACACACACACACACACACAATATAAATGTGTGGTATCAGATTCCACACTGTGCACTAATTACATAGTAATGAGGCTAATCAAGAGTCAAACAAGAGAAACATTCAGCCTTAATGCTGTAATCCTGCTTTAAGCCTCCACATATCCTTCTTTATGATGTTAAATGGCCCCCGATGGACCAATACAGACGAACAAGGACGACCACAGTCCACACATGGGGAGGGGGGGTGGGGGGGTGGGGGGGTGGGGGGTGGTAGTGCAGTGTGTGTGTGTGTGTGATCTTAGCCTATGGAATAAAAAACACAGAAGTCTGCAGTAGGTTTGAGTTCAGAGGTGTTGGGGCTCAAAACCTCTGCTGTTATTTATTTGTGAGTCTTTGCAGATCTGAATCTCTGTGGTTTAGTTAATGTCAGAGGAGGTGAGTGTGTGTGTGTGTGTGTNGTGTGTGTGTGTGTGTGTGTGTGTGTGTGTGTGTGTGTGTGTGTGTGTGTGTGTGTGTGTGTGTGTGTGGTGGATCAACACAACACAATCAATGCAAGGCCACAGAAACTCTGTTAGACAATAGATACAGTGACCTGGATGACTGAGCATCTTCATTTGTTGCTATTTCGTAGGAAACTTGCGACCAGACAACAGAACAGAATCCTTCAGATATCAACACTTCATTCGTTTCTTCGATTAACGAGGGAAACTGTTGAGTTCAACCATCATAATAGAATTATATCAACATTACAATTCTGATATCAGTCGATATCGATAATCTTCATATATTGAAATATATGTTTTTATATATCGATACATGGTTCTAACAAAGGTTGTTTCTAATGTTTTATTTTATCTTTATTATTTTTGTTTTGTTATTATTATTACTTATTATTATTATCATTATAACACTTTTCTTATATATTGCGACTGACTGAGATAATTGGTGATATTTTTTGTTGCCCAGCCTGAACATTGTCGTAGGCCTTCATGATCGTCTTCGTCATATCTCTGTTGATGTTATTTACACAGTGTTGTGAGTTGCTTTGTGGAAAACAAGTGTCCATCAACACTCAGATGCTCGTGCTAACCATCATTTTGTTAAGTTGTGTGAGTACCTGCGTTGTGAGGAGTGTCAGTCGGAGCTGAAAGAAAAAAAAGGGTATGTTTCAAACAAAAGAAAATGGCACATGAACATTTTCTGGCTGCAGGATATATTTTTTTTAAGATTCTATGAAATAAAACTCTCTTGACCCAGTGAATGGTGAATTGATTCATGAAGAAAAAAAATACAGCAGATTGGTCAATAACAAAATAAATTCTAAAAAACAGCTGCAGCCCTGGTGTCAGATTTTAGCACAAAGACACCAAACACATGTTGATGTTTTCTATAATTTGCAAAACCACAAATATAAAAACAGAAAGGTTAATATCAGGCCACGGATCCATGTGACTGACAGATTTAATGTCACTGACTCACACCTCTGTCTCTTCAGAATCCAAACAAAAGCTCCTCTACCTGGCGAAGGCCCACGTGTGACAGCTCTTGACACAGAGGAGGAGGAGGAGGAGGAGGAGGAGGAGGAGGAGGAGGGTGACGTGATGCAGAGCCTCGACCAATGACAACTCGCTGCGTGGACGACGCGTCAAGCTGCTGCGAAGATCAACACCTGCGAGTCTCAGCAGCCGAGGAGCGACGTGCGTTCGAGGACAGTTTGGAGAGAACAAGCGCCACAAGTGAGGCGAGCTGTCAAAGACACCGACGCTTTAGTAAGGTTTGATATCGGCCTGGTATTAGCCCCCCCCCCCACACACACACACACATGCACACACGTGGCAGGTGGGTTGAGTTGGATAAAGGCAACTTTACGCACGAGAGAAGACAAAACAAACCACAAATATCAAAATGTGTAAATCCATTCAGATTGAAGTCCTTCCTATTTCCTGTGGCCTCAGAACGAGCAGACATTCTCATCATCGTTTTAATAGACTTCAAGTTTTTTCATATTATTTTATCCAAGCTGTTAAAAAAAAATGAACTCCGAGGTTCACAGTGTCCGGCTCGAGGCCCCAGGTCATTGTGGATGAGACGCACCATCATCCAGCGGCTCTCAGTGTGTTCCACCGTGGAAACAGTCGAGTTTGTGAGAATGGAAACAAACACCCACTGCGCCCTGAGCAGCCTCCTCCTGTATCATGTTCTGCTGTGAGGCGTTTACAGCTGTTTTGTGTCATAATACAGGCCGACACGCTGCGCTGCGAGAGCTGCCGCTTTACAACAGAGGCGAGAGGAGACCAAACCTGCGCCACCACGCACGACCTGGACACATAAACCCAAACACAGCTCATGTAGAACCCCAGAATAAAGCCCTTATTTTATAGGGGTAGAAATCATCGTATTATTTGTTTTTTAAATGACCTCAAAATGTTTGTTTTTTTAAACGGAGCTGAAAACACGTTACAACTGATTTAACGTTGAATTTGTCTTCATCTTTATTCGTTTGAAAATAATAACAATAAAGAGAATTATTTGTGGTTTCCATCACCTGTATTTTCCATTGTGAGATTAATGTGGCCCTGTAATGAGTACAATTCTTCTGTTGTGTGTTTCCTTATTTTTCAAAGAGCAAATCTGAATTTAGACAAAAAATAACCAAAGAAAGATTGTGCACGTTTTAAATACTTGAAGTTTTAACTGCGTTACACGTTTGAAACAATCGAAAAAAATCAAAATCAAATCAAATCGATTACAAACATGTTTTTTTTTTACAAACGGGTCCCATCGATGCAGCTGCGTAATGACCGGTGACTCCTCCAAGCACTGTGTCTGATTACATTTATATTTGTATGTATAGTAATAGTAATGTTCTTATTTCAGTTGTGGGATTTGTCAGCAGCCTCTCCTGGTCCCCGGTGCAGGAGGATGAGGCGGACACAGTGATGTGAACACCTCCTGCTCTGAACACGGTGGATTAATGTGGTGATTAATGACGGAGAGGATGACCTTTACCGGGAGGGCGTCTCCACATCACTTTTACTCCATCGAGCTACACGAGACGATTATTTAGTGATTACCAGTGAAATCTACTGGAGAAGATGTTTGATTAAATCCATCCTGTCAGAGACACATTTGGGCCTTAAAATAAAAAAATATATTCCCTAAGAGTAACAAGCTTCTTTGTGGAGAGAGGATCTCTGATGGCGCTGATTGGAGGTTAAACCAAAGCGAATCATCCAATTAAATCCCCCCAGAAGAGGTGATTGATGATGTCAGCTGCTCTGCTTCTAATTAACGTTTAAAATTAAGAAAGAAAAAAACTTTCAGGACCAGATTCACTTCAGACCTTAGAGCCCATTGAAGCGTGGTTTTTTTTAGGGTTGGGGGTCTCAGGGTTATTCACGCTCAAACTAAATTTGAGGGTTAATAATCTACAGCAGGTCGGGTCACGGTGCAGCAGGGTTCCTTATCTTTCACAGGATTAAATTACCAATGAAATGAAAAATAATCCTCAAAGCGGTTTCCTCTTTCTCACAACTGTGTGGAGGATAAAGGCCTGTTAGGGACATTGGGGTAAACACAATAAAAATATCAAAATATTATTTGTACATGTGAGATTTCTTATTTTTTTTATTTCTCATTAATCAACGAGTGGAAAATATTTCTATCTAAACTAGTTTCTGGTATTTCTGGAAAGTAAAACCACTTCATAATAATAATGATGATAATAAAATAATTGTATCCTGCATTTTAAAGCTTTTAACTGATCTCATATCCAAGTCTTAAATGTCCAAGTGAATCAGAATCACTGTGATATTAATAAACTGCCTCAGCCTGAATTTTCTGCTACCTGCACTTCTTTAGAAAAGGATGCTTGCCCCTGTCCAAACCCCCAAACTACATTAACTCCCGCAAACTGCTGCTCGTTATGGAGAAATATATATTCAAAGCAGCCACAAAGGGTGGACCTCCAAGGCAGCTAATAGAATTTCCTGCTGTTTTATAACTCTGTCCCTAAACCAATGTCACCATATACTGCTGCTGCTGCTGGCACAGGAGCCTCCGCAGTGGCTTCGTGGGCGCCAGGTTTCATCCAAATGTGTCGGAATAATCTGATTGTGCTTCGGAAAAAAAAAAAAAAGAAGAAAAATACAAAAAAGAAAGGCTGAATTTTTACAGCGTTTGTTTTATTCAACCTCTGGCACGTGGAAGCAGCTGGCACGCTGATAAGAATTCAGCAGCAAGAATGTAAGAATATCTTTAATTTAGGTAACGTAGGAAGAGAAGCCTTTGTTCCATTTTGCGTAAAATTGCCCATTTGTTGTGGTATTTTTTTTTATTCAACCTAATGACATTTAATTCAACCATTAAATATTTTAAAGCTTTCCTCATTATTCATGACTCTTATAAAAGGTCAAATGCATATTTCGTTCTGCCTACAGATCACGCATCACCTCTAAAAATCATTAAAACGAATATAAGCCCATGTGGCACTAACTGTCTACTGCGTTACATTTTTACAAGCTTTAAATAAAACAAGGTGTTTCCTCTGAGCGGACGTACCTGCTGCTCTCCTCGGTGTCCGACTCCTTCCACTTTTGTCTCCCAACATCAATAAACTCCCCCTTCCAGAAAAAAAAAAAAAAAAAATTAAAATTCACATCCTCCGTCCTCAGAGTCTGAGCCACAGCTCGGCGTCACCTTTATTAGACGCTCGTTTCACGCTAGCGCATTAAATTACACTGTAACTCTGGGGTTTACCTGCAGGGTCACACATTGTCTCACTGATAAATTACTAAAGGGAAGAAGAAAAAGGACAAACGACAACAAACACTATGAACAAAGGAGATACTATAAATTATATAAAACTATCTCAGTCAAACAAATGAGTTCTTTAATTTAATTTTTGCAAAGACAGAAATCCACCACCTGCCTCGTGAAACGATGGATTAAACCGGACAGTTTCTCTCCATGTGTAACTATCTTTTAATAAACTTTAAAAATCAGTTCCTTAAATGTGCTCATTGTGACTTTAAAGCCAAATTCCCGTGCAGCACGGTGTCTAATGCCCATATTACGCATAACGCCCTATGCGTAATTACGCACCTAAATGATTAAATGGATATCACGGCTGGAGACCATTGTTGGCTCGGTGTCCCTCCAAACTTTACCATAATGCTGGTGGCAGATTTTGAATGGGCATCAACTCTCCCTTTCTAGAGGAACAGACCAGCAGAGGGAAACAGATGCATAAACATTTCAGGGGCATCTTTCTCCTCGGCAGCAACAGACTCCTCCTATTCCCCACGTCCAATTAGTTATTATGGTCCGGCCCTTTAAGACGCAGCAGCGGGTCAGCAAGTAGTGTAGTGTTTCTCTAATTGAACTTCGCCCAATCAACAATAACTCGTTAGCAGTCGCTTTCTTTTTCTTGCTGCTAGAGACAGCTTTTTTCTCCTTGCAGGGATTCACCCCCTCCAGTCCGTTACTTCCTAAAGATCTACATGGAGCTTGGCAGAGGAACTGCGGATCTCTGAGGGGAATAGCTACAGAGCGGTTGCCTTTGCAACTCCGCCAGAAGCATGGTTATTTTGGAGGAAAAGTCTCAGGCGAACTAAGTTGCAGCATTCGGCTTCAAGAGTCAACATTTAGGGGAGTTCTTCGAGCAGCAGAGGACACACGTGTGGACGCGTAAAACGACCATTTGAATGAAATAATCAACTTTGTGAAAGCAGCGATTGTTCGGGGACTGCGATGACCTCTAGTAAAGACATGAAGGCAGGTTCTGTGTTGCAGTCCAGCGGCGAGGAGAGGAGACGGGCTCCCCTGGACCAGCTGCCGCCGCCGGCCAACTCCAACAAGCCGCTGACGCCGTTCAGCATTGAGGATATCCTTAACAAACCGTCGGTAAAAAAGTCGGTGGCCAGTATCTGTCCGCCGAGAGTGCTGGAGAAAGTCGCGGGCTCTAACTCGGTGAGAAACGGGATCACCACTCCCTCCTCGCCGCTGTGCGCGCTGGAGGAGTTGGCCAGCAAAACGTTTAAGGGTCTGGAAGTCAGCGTGATCCAGGCAGCAGAAGGTAAAACCCCGTTTTCATGTCAAATACTTATTTTCAGACGGATACAGAAACTTTTAAAGGGTTTTGGATGAAGGGAAGCTCGCACAGCAGTCACCACGCTCACTGCGAGCTGGGCTTGTGTTGACTTTTAGAGTGGGCACGCAAGGGCAGCTGCATGTGTATGAAATGAAAACGCAACATTTACGCACGGACACATGCGTGTGATCCACAAACGGCTTAAGGTGGCTAATACACCAGTTTGCATTGTGTTAAAAAGTCAATCAGCTATTTTGGCTAACAGCAAGGAGAGCCGTGTTAAACAACAACAACGCACTGACTGACAGATGATTATTGGATATTTTGATCCAGCGTGAAAACAATTCAACCAAAAATCCACGTATTTGGTCAATGTCTTGGTTTTTAGAAGAAAAACAAATAAATGAGATTTTATTAAATCTTCTTGTTGCTGTTATTTATATTCCTGATTTAAGGGGGGAGCCTGTGGAGCGAGGACAGGCCTCTGCTG